TCCTTACCAAAGATGCGAAAGGCATAGTGGGACTTGATGTCTGGGGTTGCTGTGTCACTGAACACACTGAGGAGGTCCAAGAAGTCCTCAAAGCTCAGGCTGTCTCGGGTTGGGGATGTGGAGAAGACCCTGCAGATTCGCTCCTTGAAGGGGTTGGCCTAGGCAAGAAAACCCTCTATGAACGCCATGGAACGCAGCCTAAGTCACACACTCCAACCCCACCAAGAACTGGAGGGAGCAGTTCAGGATTGCGGGGGAGAACTATTAGCACTTTGGGGCCAGCATGGAAGGCAGGGAGACCAATGACTCAGCCGGGGAAGGGACAGGGATGGCTTCCTGGCAGTCAGAGCTTAACCCAAAGGTAAGCTTGGCAGCAGAAAAGGAAGAGGAAGGCATCCTAAGCAAAGAGAAATAGATGGGCTGATTATTTTAAAACACATTTAATTGAGCACTTACTGTCTTACAGGCACTAGGCCAGTCACTTTGAGTACAAATTTTCCCAGCAGCCCTATGGAAAGGCAATCAACCTCGGGAATAGGATTTCTCAAAATAAGGTAATTCAACTCCTCTTAACGGACAAAACTTCTTTGAACCTCCAAGAATATGTCTGAGAATCTCAGTTTGAAAACATCCTTCTAGATAATTCCCCTGGATAATTTTGGTAAAGCCCTAGCCCCCAGGAAATTGGGGCTAACCCAATTAGAAAAGACTAGAATGGGGACCAGTGATGGCATGATCTCAAAAGGAGTAGCAGAGGGAGACTGGGGGGCTGGCACCTTGAGTTCTGGAAGGCTGAGGATCTGTTCCAAGGACACCCGTGCCTGCAGTGACTCCTCCACACCCCGGTGCTCCGGGGGAAGCAGCTCACAAAACCGCCTGTGGGCTCTGGCAGAAGGAGGGGAAACTGTTGGTGCGCCTTCCTGGGTGCATTACATCCCCACTCCTTGCCTTGCTACCCATCATAAACCAGGTGAGGAGCTAAGCCCCAGACATTGAACTTCTGAGTCTCAGGCATGATAAGCCGAAAGCAGCTATATCACAAGGCAGTACAGACTGGGAGTCCATTCTTGTAATGGGTATTTACTGAGGGTCCGCTGTATCCCAGGCACTGTGCTGGGCCCTGGTTCTAGAGCTCCCCAAAGGATGGAGAGGTCAGGAAGGAGCCAGAAGCTGGCCCTGAAGACCAGTGGAAAAAGAGCTAAGTTGAAATCTCATTCTCATTCCAGGAATCTCCTGCTGTTCCTGCAGCTATCCTGAACTGTCTCCTCCTTAGGCCCAACCTCATTCCAATTGGGATTTTTTTTGCCAAGGGAAGCCCAGGAATCTCCTTACTCAATTGCCCAGGCCACAGAAAGCTGGCACCTGGCTAGGAAAGGGGTTCCTCTTATTCAGAGTATAGTCTTAGGCAAGTTACCAAATTTATCGGAACCTGTTTCATTGTCCATCTACCTCCCTCGTGAGGGTTAAGTTAGGTAATGTAGGCAACCACTTAGCACAGTTCCTGGCGCATGGGAAGTACTTCATAAGCGTTAACGGTTACTAGTATTATTCTGGTAAAGTTGGGGAAAGGAGCCTGGCTCCGCAAGGCTTCTCTGGCTTTGCCAATAGGCAAAGCAGCCCAGAACTACAGCAGCCCCTGACTGAATGGGACAGGAAGTTCGGTTACGCAGAAAGCAATGGAGCGCGGGGTCAAAGAGCGCCTGTCTACGGCTGGAGGCTGCGAGGTAGCTCCGCGGTGCATAGCTGGGGCCGCCGGCGCGGGCAGGGCGGGCGTGCTGGGAACAGGGCATAGCCTAGGGCTGGGGGCCCTGGACTCCAGTTCTGGCTCAACTGCTGACCTCAGGCAGGCCCTTGCCCCTCCCTCTGGCGGTGCCTCAGTGTGCCTATCTGTAAGACAGACACCCACCCCCATCCCCCGTCTTGGAAAGCCGTCCCTAGAGGATCCCGGAGGTGAGGTTCGGGAAAGGACTTACAGTAGGATCTCCTGCTTGGTCAGGAACGTCAAATCCTGGAAGGCAAAACAAGACAGGAGGTCAGTGGGCCGCCGGGAGGCCAGAGGCCGCGCCCGCCCTGCCGATACTCAGGAACCCCTCTCCCGAGCGCAGAGCCGCGCGCAAGCTCCCTAGAGACCGGTGTCTCGCGCACCTGGTACTCGGCCAGCAGCTCCTTGGACAAGCGACTGCCAGAGCCCCCCATCGCCTCGCCGCGCGCACAGCTCCGCCAACTCGTCTCGGGACGCCGGCAACTTTCTCACTTCCG